TAAAATGATTCCAAAGGTGCCCTAATCATCCAACTTCTTGCCTTGTAATATATATATATTTCTAAACTATGGATTGTCCCCATTATAATATTTTCATAGTTGTATGATTGCATTGCCCACATGAGATCATAAAGATCAATAATAATCGAATTATTATGTAGTTTTTCTAATTATATGACCGTTGATTTGACTAGGTTGTAGAAAAAGAAGCTACTGAGCTGGTTCTCATCCACCATTAAGAACAAATTCAATCAATAATTGTGATGTTATTTTTCAACCACCACATATCTATATTCTTCTATTTTTCACCCACCTTGAAGCAACTCCTAATAAATGCAGTATCCAATGAAAGCGTTTGGGGCCCTTTAATTTTTTTAATTATCAATAATTTAATCTGCATTATTTCATAATTATCTGCTTAGTTGAACTGAATGATCATTAAGTATAGCTAAATGAGTATATCTATCAATAGTTTATTTTAGTAGGATTATATATCTAAAAGTGTGTCGCTGTCAAATGGCTTGGTTGGGGTTCTTAAAGTAAAATATTAATTATGTCAAGATCATTAATTGGTGTAAATTTTATCTTGGATATGAGACAAAGGACCAAGAAAACAATAAATATATATATATATGATAAAAATATTAAATATTTGAATAATAACTGCAAAATAACTATATGGTACCATTCACATCATTTTTATTCTAAGATGAAATTGCAGCATCTTATTTTAGTTTGAATATTTTTCAGTCATTTAATTTTTTGTTACAAAAAATTTGCATCAAGAGCCCTGGATGCAATTAATGATATGTGGTTATGTTATGTGGGGAGATCACTAGAAAAGTCAGCTACATAAAAGAGCTTCATGCATGAAAAACCTTTTAGAAGATGGTGAGTTGTATGTTTAATTAACAACTTAAATAATTGTTGATACACGGTAGAAAAAAGTGTTAAAACTGACGGAAAAATCAACAGTTTTTTACACGTTGGAAAAATTGTTCTAATTCCCGATAGTTTTGCGGTTGTTTTTTATCTTGGTTATTTGCGACGACATAACTACAACATAAACTGTCGCTTTCAACATCATTTTGTTTTTCGACTGTTTTTAATTATACCCGAATGAATAAATCGTCGACTATAAGTAAATATTAACTGACGGTTATAGTTGGTCCATTATATTCGAGCATGCAATCTGACGGGGTGTTAATTGGCATATTTTATTATTAAGCGACGGAAACGACAGTCGGTAATAGTTTTAATAACTGACACAATTAAAGTCGTTGATATGCTGTCAGAACTAATCCTATATCACAACCAAAATCAACCCCCTCCTGGTCTTGCCCTAATTTATCTCCTGACCCTCGTCTTCTCCACCCAAAACCTTCGTCTCTCCACCCTCCGCCCGAAGCCCTCGTCTTCTCCACCATCCAAAACCATCATATTCTTCTTTTGAATCCCTCGCGATACAGTCAAAATATGAGCTAGTTGGGAACACAGAGGTGGGATCGCGACTTACAATAACCATAAACTCCCATTTTTCTCCTCCTTCTGCTCCTTAGCTACCCGAAACAACTGAGGAAGGTAAAATTTTATCTTTATTTTTGCTTTTATTTATTTTCATTTGCTTTGAAGAATGCGTTTAATTTATAGGATTTAACAACTAGGAGGTTTGTCAAATATTTTCCTATTTCGGTTGGATTACATCTAGGCTTGTGAGTTTAGCTCTAACATCATTAATCACTCAAAGATTGATTCAAATTTTGGCCTCGATCGAGATCATATCGAAATAAACGAGCTGAGTTGCAAGCCAAATTTTGAATCGAATTTTTTTAGCCGATTTTGAGCCGACGACAACTCAACTCGAAATCAGATCGTTAACAACATATAATTTGTGAATTTAACAAAATTAGGTTGAAGATTGTTAATCGCTCAAAAAATTGATTCAAATTTTAGTTCGAATCAAGATCATATCAATATAAACGAGCCGAACTACAAGCCAAAATTTTGGATTGAATTTTTTTAAGCTGGTTTTGAGCCGACCCCAGCTCGGCTCAAAATCAGATCGTTAACAACTTTAATTACATCAGGGATCGGCTTTGAACACACTGTTTTTACTGTATTTATGGATGCTTTTATTGGATATTTACAAGAGGATGCACATTGGTGTATGCTTTTTGACAGGATATCCTTTTTGTGGAGAAGACTAGAGAAAGAGTTTAGGAAAAACTTAAAGTTTGGAGGCTAATATTATAGTCTAAAGTCTTTCATTTGAGTACTTGAAATGTAATTTTAGTAGTAGTAGCTCTAGCGGCACATTTGTAATTATGGGTGATCAAATCATTTAAAAGGTGTGAACATTCTAGATATCTCGGGTCTTCTGTTCAATGTGATGGTGATATATATGGAGATGTGATTAATTAGTAGATTTCAAGTTGGTTGGTTGGAACATATATCATCTCGGCTCGAAGTCGAATCGTTTACTATCATAGTATATCATTTCTGTTGAAAATCATTAAACAATATAACATTAACTCGTAATTGATTAAAACATCTCCCGCTGATAGTGTATACCACTGTAGCTACACCAGTCCGTTGATAGATGTATTTGTTTCATATTTTGTTTCCAATTGAAAAACCAATCACAAACCTCATACAAATTACTGGCTTTACACTTGTAAATAAAATGTGAACGAAATATACTCGTGAATGAGTTGATGTAGCTATGATGACGAACAAAATTAGAGAAAATATTGATAAATGTTCATCGATTATTAATCTTCCACAATCCTAATAGCCTCGATAGGCTGTTAAAGTTTTGATTTCAAACTTAACTGTTGTCGGCTCTAAAAAAATCCGAGTAAAACTTAAAATCAGTCAATTTTCAAGATGTAATTGATGTTTTGTATTAAGAAAAGTTATTCTGACAGTTTATTTAAACTTCATGATGTCTTATTTTAATAATGCCTGCAACTGTAGCTACTCAAACCCTATCATAGGCATATTTTTTTTGTATTTTGTTTCCAACTGTAAAGTCAATCATATAACTAATATACTCGTTGCCACAACCCCTTATGCGATTGACCGAACACCTATAAATATATTCTTAGAAGGAAATATTTCATAAGATGTAAAAGTCTTCACTGCATCCTCCAATGCGAAGTCTAATTTTCACAACAAGAATGAAAATTCACTTCGAAATCTAAATCTCAGGGTTTAGTTCCAAAATGAAATTTCACATCAACATCTAAATCACATTGCGACAATTTTTATTTTTTACAAATGTAAATTAGATTTTGAAGTGAATTTTCATTCTAACCGTGGGGATTAAACTTACTTTTAAAATATAAATCTTTATATAATATAATATAATAATATATATATATATATATATATATATATAGAGAGAGAGAGAGAGAGAGAGAGAGAGAGAGAGAGAGAGGCTACATATGACTAGTTAGGCAAAATTAAATATGACTAAGTCTTATACTCAATAAAAAAAAAATAATAAAGTAACTTTTAACATGATTTTAAAATTTAAGTCACATATAAATTAGATTAAACGCCATTAGAAATAAATAAATAAATACACAAAAATATTAAAAAACAATATTTAACTCAATTCCATTCATTTGCTACCATATTTGTGTTGATTCAAATGATAAAATTTTATAAACCTCACCTCGCTAAAGTTATAAAAGAAACTAGCATATTTATTGTAATTATGTAAAGGGGTGAAATCATGACATATCCATGCATGCATAAAATGAGAATGCATGCATAAATCCTTAAAGCACTCGATTACAACTCATCCTACGTGCCTGTCCATTCCATAATATATGCTCATGATATCTTAGGAATATCAATTCTTATGAGCTTCTCTTGCACAAGGAAACAACTCCAAGCAAGATGACCAATTATTCTCCTTTCATCAACACCACTTTTATTCTTATCCTAACTACTTTGAATCCCACCTTTATGCATCCTCATTCTTTATTCCTTCTTGATAAGTACTGGACAACATACAAATTATATTCTGAGTAAATATTCTCTTACATAACACTAAGAACTTATTTACATATATCAAACATCTAAACTTTCATATTTACATGCATATCAAATCTTTGACATCATATCTAGATATCACTACCCCTAATGGCTCTAGGCTAAACCTAATCCATCAACTCAACTAGGGAGGGGTGTAAGTGGGTCAAGTCTACTCTTGACCCAGCTTGAGCTTGAAGCGTGATAAGTTAAAAAGCAAAGCTCAAGTTTTCCCAACTTGTTAGCCAACTCGTTTAAAAAATATTTATTTAAAATACACTCAAAATATATTAAAATTTAACTCTTTACTTTTTAAATTGCTAAAAGCGTAAAAAAATGATATTTTATATTTTATATCAACCGATTTGTTATGATTTATCTCTTATTGGTTCATTTAATATATAATTTTTTCATAAAGCTAACTTAAATTAATATGGGTCGTTCTTTTTTATAATAAATAAGTTGGCTCTTGAGTTAGCTCGAACTCTCAGACATAAGCTCAGATTAGAGCATAAACTCGATTAATTAATTAAACTAGAGCTCAAGCTAAGGGTGACTCGAGCTCAACTCGTTTACACCCCTAAGCTCAAAGCTAACTAATTTTGTGATATATATGTACATAAATCTCTCAAATGATAAACCCAAACAAAAAAAAAAAAAAATCCTAAAATAAATAATAAAACAAAAATTATTTCATTTTTAAAAAATTAACTAAAAAATACATTTCACAAAAATGTAAAATATTAATCATCAAGCCTAAAACCTTTTTAATAAAACCAAAGCCCACAATCAATCAACACAAACAAGGGATAAATCCTACAACATCAACCCCTCAAAAACAAATACTAAATATAAAACAATATAAGCTCCATAAAACAAAATCTTGATGCAATAGTCATTGAGAAAACCAAATTAAGAAATTAAAATTAAGTTATAATTAACTAAATATAATCCAATTTATTTCTTTTTTTTTTAAAGAAGCTCATTTGTTTGCATTTCAACTTACACCTTCTTCATTTCTCTCAACAAATGACCTCTTCTAAAAGCTTATATCTCCTAACCCTACCTCTGAACCCCTGCCTCCCCTTCCTATCCCCTGTTGAAATCTGTTCACCGCCGCCTCGCAGGCCCTCTGCCGACGCCAATCTTTGCTTCTTCGCAGGTGGTGAAAAACACCGGTTGGTGAGCTTCAGTCCTCCGCCACCACGACCGCCACCCGCGGCTAAGTTACCACAGCCACTGCTCCTCTGAGCAACTGGCGTCAGAGTTAGTGCTGATATATTATTTCCAGAGACAGTCTGCTCTGCTGCTAAGGAGAGCTTATTGCTTCTCATTTCTTCTCTTAAACACCAGTTGCAGGCTTGATAAGAATGTGCTTTGGGGTACAGATTGCTGCAGTATCTGCTTCATGAATGGAGAGAAAATAATTAAATTTGATTTGATCAAACAAAAAGATGATTTTTTTTTATTTATTTGCGAGATCATTAGAAGTTAAAATTGCCATTTCTATTTAGTTTGTAATTTTTATGATTGTTTAATCATGAAGATTAATTCACAAATCCTATCGAGATTAACTCTTTTCATTACTCTGCTAATTAATTTTATTGTTATACAGTATGTAAATAAATCATTTTTACTGCAGCATGGCAGTTACTAATCACAAAAAAAATATATAAAAAAAAATAAAAAGAAAATTGAGAGGCGATTCCTTTCCATTTTTAGAGGAAAGGCACAAAATAATTCTGCCCAAAAAAAAAAAAAAACCTCCATTAAAAAGTAATATGTTCGGTTAACAAACGACAGAGTGGATAACATAACATTTTAATCTTTAAATACATGATATGATGTGATTCACACCGTCATCCGCACATTCATGAGACTTAAGTTTCCGGCCGTCTTCACAGGAGTTCAAATGCTATTATAATTTTTATTAGATTTAATTTCCTTTCCTGCAATTAATTTTAAGGACAAATATTGATGATTTGCATGCCGCGGTAAAGAAAAAATGATGATGGATCAAGTAATAATTACAAAGAAAAATAAAATAAAATGAATTGGGGAATACCTGTGCTGAGATCTGAACAGGCAAACTCTGCACCGGAAGAGCTCGCTACACAGACCTTGATCGCCGCACATGCAACAGACCGCCGGCGCCCGCAAACCGCCAGCGGTTTTAATGCCACCCATATTATCTCTCTCTCTCTCTCTCTCTCTCTCTCTCTCTCTTCCCTTATGGAGAAGGAGAAGAAGGAAAAGGGAAGAAAGTAAGTTATGAGGATATATAGGGGATTAACTTCGCCTGTTTGCCGGAGGAAAATATTGGGCAATTGTTATTTAATACGTGAGTAAAATATTAAGGACAAGAAATTGAAAGTGGCGTGAATAAATGTTGCCGTGTGTTCTAGATAGCTGTTTGTGAATTTATTTTGAGAAAATTTAAATTTTTATTAAATTATCCTTTGAAAATTTTTCTTAATTATTAACTTCCGATAGTTAATTTTTTTTATATTATAAAAATTATGGACGATCATAATTATAATAAAATTGTAAGCAAAAAAAATATTAGGAATGCAGACGAAGTTGAGAGTGGTTGAGTTCCTTAAATGACCATGAACACCCCTTACGGGTGTTTACCTACATAGTTCTTAATACATCAAAGGTGGTTCATTTGCCTCACTCATAGGCTAATTAAGACATCAACAAGACTACAATGAGCATAGTTCATAGTACAATAAAGTAAAATAATATAACTCCTAATTTAACATGGACTCATCAACTCAACAATATAGTAAGGTCAAATGAACTTAAAATAGTCCAGGAGATCCCAAATTTGTTTAGGGTCACTCTCTAAACACCTTTACAAGAATTTAGACATTTCTTAGGATATTTGGGCATATTATAATTTGTTGAGAAAACATCCTCAAAACATAAATACTTACCAAGATATGATTCAGGACCCTTTAAATTAATACTCACTAATGAGAAATCCTCTGCTACAACTTAACCTACAGTAACACCCAATACTCAAGTGCATGGGCATTGGATACTGTGCTCAAACTCTTTTAGCAACTAGGAATGTTTAAAATGTGGCTACATCTGAATCATCGAGGCTGGTGTAGGTTGGAGGTTTGTTGGCAAGAGCGACATGAGAAAGGTATCTAGGTATGTGAGAATAGTATTGTACTTCCTTGCCCAATGACTACGAGAGGGTGTAGGAGTGGCATACTACCATTGGGTAAAGACTTGCTCTAACTCTCTGAAGCAGCTAGTGGTCCCAAGTTTAAAAAAATGTGACTAATCTGTGAACTTTTTATAGGGGACTAACTTTGCCTGTTTGCCCGAGGAAAATATTGGACAATTGTTATTTAATACGTGAGGAAAATATTAAGGACAAGAATTTGAAAGCGACGTGAATAAATGTTGCCGTGTTTTAGATAGCTGTTTGTGAATTTATTTTGAGAAAATTTAAATTTTTATTAAATTATCCTTTGAAAATTTTTCTTAATTATTAACTTCCGATAGTTAATTTTTTTTATATTATAAAAATTATGGACGATCATAATCATAATAAAATTGTAAGGAAAAAAATATTAGGAATGCAAACGAGGTTGAATTACACTTTTAGGGCATGTTTGGGGCAGCTTATAAGTGCGGCGACGTTTTTAAAAACGCCGCCTAATCATTTGGTTTGTGCTTTTTTAAAAATGCCGTCTGTCGTGTTTGAATTTTTTGTACTAAACACAGACCGTAGGTTGACCCCCGCGGTCGAATCGCGGGCCGCGTTTCACACGCAAAAGCTGCCCAAGACAGACCCTTAACCCTGAATTTTCTGTAGATTTTTACGGAGAAAAGACACATACAAATCAACCGGCCACAATTTTGAATGAAAGTTTTCAGTCCTGTACCCTTTTTTTTTTTCTTGTTGGTATAAACAAGTGACAAATGTGTTTAACATATTGATCGTCTAAGGAAGAGAGCACGTAAACAAGTGATTGAATAAAAAGTGAATTGTAAATAATAAGCGTTTAGAGTCTTGCTTCATAAAATGACCTTCTATTTATAGATATAGAAGAGTCGTAACATACATATACAAGCAAATTAGGCTAATGAACAATTATTAACTGAAGGTAAAATGCTTATCATTCACAAGCCTGTGCTTGCTTGCTCAACGATCACATGTCGAATTATGTGAAGATGGTGCAGAAGTTTCTCAATGAAATATGCCCATGGTTTCTTCTCAGGTTCTGGCTCGTTCACTTTCTTTGTTGATCGACAAAACATTCTTTGTTCAGCCTTCTGATCGCCTAAGGAATAAGTGATTGAATAAAAAGTGAATTGTAAATAATAAGCGTTTAGTCTTGCTTCATAAAATGGTCTTCTATTTATAGGTATAGAAGAGTCGTAATATATGTATACATGCAAATTAGGCTAATGAACAATTATTAACTGAAGGTAAAATGCTTATCATTCACAAGCCTATGCTTGCTCGCTCAGCGATCACATGTCGAATTATGTGAAGATAGTGTAGAAGTTTCTCGATGAAATATTCCCATGGTTTCTTCTCAGGTTCTTGCTCGTTCACATTCTTTGTTGATCGACAAAACATTCTTTGTTCAGCCTCCTGATCGCCTAAGGAATATGTGATTGAATAAAAAGTGAATTGTAAATAATAAGCGTTTAGTCTTGCTTCATAAAATGGTCTTCTATTTATAGGTATAGAAGAGTCGTAATATATGTATACATGCAAATTAGGCTAATGAACAATTATTAACTGAAGGTAAAATGCTTATCATTCACAAGCCTATGCTTGCTCGCTCAGCGATCACATGTCGAATTATGTGAAGATAGTGCAGAAGTTTCTCGATGAAATATTCCCATGGTTTCTTCTCAGGTTCTTGCTCGTTCACATTCTTTGTTGATCGACAAAACATTCTTTGTTCAGCCTTCCCCTCGGGGGTCACTCGTTTGACCTTTATGTTGATCAACTTGCCAATTATGCAGACAACTTGAGAGAGGATCTGTGACGATCTCTTGAATGGATTATCTCGAATACCCATCTTAGCTTATTAAACTGTTTCATCGCATCTTGACCGGGTGCCCCACTTCGTTTGTCGTGTTCCTTGACTTTCCATCAAGATTTGTGTGGCCACAATTTGGATATACATATATATATATATATATATTATACACCAAAAATCTAATGGTCCATATAAAAATGGTAATTAATATAAAAAGACACCTTAAAAAGCTATAACTCTCTTTCTATAAATACAGAGTTGTTCTCTTCTCTCTTAACTTTTCTCATGTATGGAAAACTTTGACCTCAACTTTTCAAGGTAATCTTTATTTTTGATATATAAAAGGGGTCAAAGAGCCCAGTAACATGTCAGTTAACCCCTATGGGGCAAGTATATACGTGCCATTCTTTTTCTTTTCTCTTCTTTGCCTCTTTCATTTTTTCTCTCATGGTCCCATCCACTTTGATCCTTAAGGATGCTTCACAGAAGAAATTTGAATTTAATATCCTAAAATGTACAGTGAGCATGAAACATACTGACAACAAAAAGAGAAGCGATACCAATGGAGAGAAATATATCTCAAAGACACCGTTAAGTAGGGCATGCAACAACAAATTTGTAGCTGGAAACATCGATTTCATCATCTTCCTGAAGGCTTTGGTTAGGAGGCAAGAACCGTAAAATGGATGGCCAACAGCCAACGGTAGAAACAAGCCGATTGACCATACTTGCACACTGCTTGGTTAATTCCGAGCGGCTTACACCTCTTGCAAACCAAAAAAAAGGGAGTGTTACATCACAACTTATTTTATGCTATGATACAAATTTCTCATACGTTGTCCCAAGTTCAAATAACACTTGAGGAACTCTGTTCCAAGTAAGTAAAGTAGACGTTAACAACAAAATTCTCCCCTCTGTGGCAAACAGATAAAAGACTCCCCTCCGGGGATAAAAAAAAAAAGAGTCCTCTACAGGGTGAACAAATAACAAACTCAGTTTTGGGGCGAGTAAAAAAAAAATCCCTTCAGGACGAGCAAATAAAAAACTCCCCTATAAGGCGTGCAAACAAATGTTTCCCATCCGGAGCAAGCTAACAAAAAACTCCTCTCCAAAGTGAATAAATAAAAAACTCTCCTCTAACATAAGTAAAAAAAAAATCCCCTGAAGGGAGGACAAACAATAAATTCCACTATGAGTCAAGCAAACATAAAAAAAAAAAATCTATGGGACGAGCAAAAAAAATCTCCTCCAGGGTGAGCAAACAAATGACTCCCCCTTAAGGCGACCAAATAAAAACTTCGGAGGCAAATAACAACTTCCCTCTTGGGCGAGCAAAAATAAATAAATAAATAAATAATAATAAAAAAAAAATTCTCATTTCGGGGCAAGTAAAGAAAAACTCTCCATCGAGGTGAGCAACAAAAAACCCCTCCGGGGGGAGCAAATAAAAAAATCCATTATGAGGCGAGCATATAGAAGACTCCATTCGAGAGCAAAAAAACAAAAAACTCTCCTCTGGGGGTGAGCAAATGAAATAGTCAGGGATGAGCGAGCAACAGACGGTTCAACCTAGCAAATGGGATGAGAAAAAACTAAGACTCAAGCTGGATGATATCAATACCGACAATTTCTCCCTGAGTTGGGTTGCCAGTTAACATAGGTAACCAAATCAACACAAGTGAATAACTCAACATAATACTGACCAAAGAGTCGAATCAGAGAAAGATTCTTTTAAACGAATGAGATAACATAAAAGATGTCAGAATGGAGCTGAGAGAGTAATAGAGAGTATCATCAGTGATTTATGTAATCATAATTTTTTCTTTAAATTTTCTTATCCTTATCGCAATTGTCGCTATCAAAGAGTAAGAAAACTGTGAAACTTAATATGTACCCTAAAAATCGGTCTAAATGAATCTTAAGGCAATCCAACGGTCCAATAAAAAAGATAGATGATGACCACGTGGCAAAAATCAGTTATAAATATTAGAAGACATCATAAGGACCTATAATTCCATATTAAAGCGGGGCAGCAATAAAAAATAAGAATAATATATAATTCCCCCATTAAAGCAGGAGCAAGAATGAAATTTTGGATTTTGTCAATCTTTCTCGTATAAATAGGGAGCGCATAACATTTAGAAATGGGTGCTCTTATCTCTTAACTTTTCTCATATAGGGAGAACTCTCTCCCATTCTCAAGGTAACCGCTATTTTTGATGTATAAAAAAGGGTCAGAAAGCACAAAAAGATCCATGTTTGCCCATACGG